AGTGTTGCTTTAAAAAGGCAACTGTAATTAAAAAAAAACACCTCTTATATTATATAGATTAAAGTTTCCTGTGTGAATTATTCATAACATATCTTTTCACTATGGGCTAACGTTTTGTAATTATTTTATTTTATGCTAATAATTAGAGAATCTATTTTAATGATCTAAGTATCAGATCTGTTGGTGTCATTCGATGATAAGAGCTCATTGTCTTTGAACAAACGCACTGCAGTAAAACAAACAAACAAACAAAAAATTCGATTGCTCCGACAGTAGTAAAATCGAAATTTCCACACAGCACAGAGCTTTCATCTGCAGAAAAGACGACTAACCTCTGCACCATATCTGCTTTCTGTCGTAGGAGGAACAACTTGTTTTTTAAATGAGCCTGGAGTCAAGTCAGGTGTGAAACACAAACCTCCGATGAAGTATGCTTGAACACACACACTAAAAAAAATCAATACCTTTCGTATTTTACAGGTTTTATTTCTTAGGCCCAGTTGTTGCTCAGTGTTATTCTGTCCAGTCATAACTCTGTGTGTGTGTGTGTGTGTGTGTGTGTGTGTGTGTGTGTGTGTGTCACTCATTTCTGTGTTTTTTTTGGCTTTTACACCAAAACGATGTGTGTTTTTTTACAGCACCAGAGCCGGCCGCTTACTTCTGCTCTGATGACAGCACAGATCGAAGCACAGAATAGATTCAGGTGCTGTGTGTGTGTGGACATAACAGGAGGATTGTGGGTAGCCCCCGAGGGAGCAACGGCTTGACAAATATTTGAAGTGCCGCCGTGCTCTGTTTATTCTGTTGCCTTCAGCTTCAGTTTGTGTAGGCTGCTGTTGAACAATGCTTTACAAAGTCAAAAAGGAAAGAAATTAGAATCAGAAAAGAAGCCAGTTTGTACAACAGTGTGTAGATTTACTCATCCAACAATGCTCTTTAGCAGCAGCTCCAGGGGAAAATGATAGGCCTGTCAAATAGTACAATTTATAATCTGGTCTGACATGAGATGTCAGTTTAGGCTCTAGATTCTATGATTAACAAATGTGTATGGACTGAGTGTTGGAGCTGTGTTTGACGGCTACATTTTTATAACAGAATTACGTGGGAAGTTTAACTGCCTTTGTCAAAATATTCAACACTTAGTGTAGTAGTGTAACAATTCTCCATCTCTCCATTATTAGTTTCCGCAAAAGATTAAAAAGAATCACAATCCTTAAAAATTTTTATTACATATATTTGCATTACATATAACTGATTCAATTTTGGTTTTATCAAATCCACACAAAATATACAAATGACAACAGTGTGTTCCACCTCTGCAATTTTGCAGAAGAGGTGGAGAACAGAGAGTCAATAAAAACTGTGAGTTTTTGTCCAGACAATCACAGTGTTTTTGTTTTGTTTTTTTTTTAATTCAGGAGACTCGTTTTTCCCACTTGATTATCTGCTATGAAACACATCGCATGTCAATGCATCACTCTGAGTCATCAGTCTTGATTGAAGGCCACTAATCAAAAAAGGCCGTCCGATGTTTGTTCAGTCACCGCACAAGTCCTTTTATGAAAGTGGGTCAGAGCTGCAGCTCAGTGATGTTAATGATTGATATTAAATCAATTGAAGTCCAGGGTTAGAAAAACCTGCAGAGACTCAAGAATCTGCAGTTTTGTGTAAAAAAAGCCTGCAGTTCTACTGCGACCTGGGATTAGATTTAAACTGTTTCTTACCTTTTAAAATTGTGACCTGGGATTAGATTTAAACTGTTTCTAACCTTTTAAAATGTATTATTTATATGTTTTTTTTGTTGTTGTTGCTAAATATCATCTGACCAATAACTGCAAGTTTTGCTCCGTGTCATATCCTTTTTTTGTTATACTTCCTAGCAACTGGCTGTCCAACTCAAGAAAGAGTAATCAGAGGTCAGAAGAAGACAATATCATTGGTCCACTGTGGGGATGGTGCTGACTTTGTTGTTCCTGTTGATTCTCCGTCCAGGCCGGGGTCTGGGCAGTTTGGTTTGGATCAGCTCCTCGGGCGTGTTGCCCAGCGGAGGCAGTAGCCTCTTCTTACTGTTCCTGGTCTCAGGTAACCACTGAGGAGGAAGTTCAAATGGTCCAAACCCAAACTGTGGAGACTCTTCTGCTTCTGTAGGCGTAGCTGGTGCCACCTGTGATGAAGAAGTGTAAGTGCAAGTCTGAACTGGAGAGGAGCGAGATGTTGCAGGAGCGTAGTCTTTGGTGACGACCAGCCCCCCTGATGCTGCTGCATCCTGAGGAGCATCTTTCATGGTCATGACTTCTCTGGAGCTTCCCAGCCTCGACCTGCCTTTAGAATCCTCCTTTGCTGATCCTTGTACTTCATTTTCATTTTCTCCTTCCTCCTCTTCCTCAGAAGGTCTAAAAATTTGCTGCTGGCCAATGTTGAACATCTCCAGTAGTTGGCTCCCAGAACGACCTGTTGTTTCCAGTCCCACCGGTTCCCCAATCACCCCCTCTGGTCCTAAAGAGGCCAGACCGCCAGTGCTGACCACGTTACGACGACTGTAACGTCTGTGAATTCTGGTGAGAAGGTCCATCCAGCTGTGACGCGCTGAGCGGTTTACGGTCAAAAACAGGAGTGGGTTAGTGAGCAGAGACACTTTTGGAAGCCAGAGAGCTGTGAGATACAGCGAGACTGGCAGCTCCTCAGCATCCGCCAAGATGGTCCGATAGACCACCAGAGCCCCGTAGGGGGCGCTGCAAACAGAAAAGGCCAGCACTACCGCCAGCAGAGTGGCATGCAGCTCTGCCTCCCTCTGGGACACATATGGGATGGAGATGCTGTTCTGCGGCGTTCGCAGCGCCGCAATGATCACCTTCTTCTTCTGGCTGGCGCTGAGCGCCCTACGTATCAGCAACATGAAGAGGAAGACCAGAGAGAGGGGCAGGACCACTGTGGTGACGTTGTAGATCAACACGTACACCATGTGACCCAGCGAGCGGGCATAGTGGTCCGAGCACGACGAGGTGACATACACGTCCGTCACGTTGGTCACAGCAAAGACGGGGAGGCTGACCACCAGAGCATGGACCCAAATGTAGATGATCAGGTCTCTGGAGCGAGCGTCTGAGATCTTCCTCTCCAGTGGGTAGAGCACTGAGTAGTATCTACAGAGAAGAACAAAAATACTTTATTACTGCAGTAAAACTTTATGTTACAAGAGAAAACTGGTGTAAAGAAATGATGATGCACTGAAGTAGAACAAGCTTCAACAGACACAGTGACATGGAAAGATTATAATGCATAAATTTAGCTTTAGCTTCGTTGGGTTTTGCCTCTCCTTTGGCTGGAGAAGTACTTGTACTTTCAGGACACTGGTACACAATGACCCACATGGAGACTTAAAGAGACATTACATCTTATGTACAGAAAAACTTCAAGATCAGATTTTGTTGGAACACAAAATATTGTATGCAAAATAACAACTGTTTAGCTTATTGTTAAGGAAGGATGTTTTTTTATCCCTCACATTCGTTTATTCACCACATATCTAATATTTTATGGTTTTACTGCTTCTCATCTCTCTACTGCCTCGTGAGTGACTATAATAGCCTTATGCCTTTTGACAACTTAAGTGCTTCATAAGTATGCACCATTATCCATGTAAAGGCGGGACTCTGAAGTGTATTGTAGTTAATGGAGGCCAACTCTGAGAGCAGCTTTTAGCTCTGCAGGCAGCCCATCATACACATGCTCCATCAGTCAGAGCATCTGATCCACACCACAGGGTGTAGTAGATGGAGGCTGGGAAGAACTGTAATAACCCCAACCAGAGACCAGCCCACTTAAATGTTGCTGTTGTTTCATGGAGCTGATACGCAACCTTCAGCAAATTCACCTTTCACCAAACCTAAGTATCAATTATTTTACTGTCTTATCAACATATGATTTACAGTGGGGCCCCTAGGTTTTTTTTTTTTTTTTCAAAATACTATATTAATTCTTTGACAAATGAACCTGTTTTCATCCTAAATAATACAAATGTGTATTTTCTTGGCTGACCTGTCCAGGGCGATGGCGCTGAAACTGAGCACGGTGGCAGAGCAGAAGAGCTTGTGGAGAAACTTGACGGCTTTGCAGATGAGTATCGTCTGGAGTAACCAGCAGCAGTGAGGACTGGCCCCCAGCACCACGTCAAAGGGAACACACACCAGGCCGGCACAGATGCCCGAGCAGGCCAGGTTCTTGATGAAGCGATTGGTCACCGATTTGAAGACGTTGGTGCAGCAGGTACACCACAGCACAGTGGCGTTTCCTGTGGTGAGACAGGAGCAGAGATTCACATTGATTGAAGTTTCATAGGGATTGATTTGGACAAATTATATATGTAAAGAACAAGATGTCGTCCAAATATGGAAATAGATGTTTTTGAGAATAGCGTATTAATAATAATATGAATGGGAGATTAGATTTTTTGTGAAGTAAAAATCATACATTATTTACAACTGTCACTTTGTATTGGTCCGATGTACATTAGCACGATGATGAAATTATTTGACATCATATTTTGACGTCTATTTTCACATCCACCTAAACAGCTCCTGACGACCTCTGACAGAGTGGTTCCCCAGAGAAACTACATTAAACAAGATGTGATGTTCTGTCACCAAGACGTCCACCACCACCGTGAGAAGAGTAAGAGATTAGTACATCCTGTTCTTTTTTTTTTCTTTTCTGCTCCATCTGAAACATCTTGGGGGGAAAAAAATTCCAGCAGCAGATTTTGAACACTGATGGTTGTGTCTGGCTTCTATTCTTCAGGTGACTGTGACCTCCTTTTGAATCACAAAAACAAAAACAGGTTCAGCACGACTTGTTTTGAGTTCACAGCCAACACTCGGTGGGTAATTATATTTACTCACCCGTGTGTCACAGCTTAGGAGGTGTTTTTTTGGTTATTTGTTTTTGTTTTTAACAAATATTCGGTTCAGTTGTCTAACAAGTGAGTAATGACCCGAACAATTATTTTTTAAAAACGACAAACAAATTTGAAAGTTGAGAAATATTGAGAAATACCTAGATTTGTCATGCAGAAGAAATTTGTAGGAATGAAGCTAAAGTCTATAGTAGTCCTTAAATAATTTATTAAATATTGAAAAATAAAATATCACATGAAGTGCAAAAGTCCGTGTCTGTAGTGGAAAATGACTTGTGTTATTATATGGACACAGGGTTTTTAAACTGTGACAGTTTGGTTGTTCAGTTTCCTCCACAAAATACAGAAAGAAACAGAATATGAGGATTTTTATAAGTCATATGTTAACATTGGTTAAATTTGTTTAATTATTTTTAATGATTACAGTCCATTTGTCCAACACTGTTTTGAAAAAAATGTGTCCTTGTTATGTATGTCTCCCTGCAGACATCACTCTCACCTACATATTTATATATAATTATATATATTTATATAAAGCCATGGCTCGTTTTCTATTGTCCCTATAATCACTTTGTCCCTTTGTTCCTGAAAATACTCACCTTGTACTTGAGGAACACCTTGGCAACCGCACACGGGAGCCAATAAGGAGAGAGCAAACACCAAACAGTACTGTTCTGCAGCACTTAACAAATGGGAGTCAGACTGCAGCCACGGACACCAGAAATGAACAAAAACACTCAGAAATACCGTCTGAGGTCTGAGGTCTTCTCTAACATAGAGTGTGTCATTTCCCAACTGGGGATAATGAACCTCTGTTAAAGATGGTTTTAAAAATCAACCTGTGAAACCTCATTAGCACCCCCATGTGTCCCCCATGTGGTGCTATGACTATTTTAGTATCAGTGATCATTTCCTCCTTAATGAAGGGCTCCATGCAGAGGAGCAGAGAGTCACACTTCCACACGCTTCACATAATGACTCACAAACCTGATTACAGTCCACAGCTGCGTTACTGCTGGTGTATAGTAGTAGACACAGTGTGGTACGTTAATCAGATTGGAACGCTGGCCTGTGCTCCGTCAGGAAGGATATTTATAATGGGATCTGTCTGTGATTAGAAATCTCATGAACTTATGAAGGAGAAATGTGTTTGTGTTCCTGTTGCTTTCAAATGGTCTTGAACTTTAGGGAAAAGAAAAACTTACAAAACTGTTTTACAGCTGATACGGTACAAGGATTTCACCGATACTTCTGTCTGTTGTGTTTCAATAAACAAGCTCTGGGTAAGGCTAACAACTATAATTTTGGGAAAAATCTATAAAAAAAAAAGCTTATTTACATCCTTGGCTAGCTTTGATTTAGCTGTTAGCTATTTTGTGGTTATCACATGTTTGTATCTGTCAGGATTCGTTACTATTAAAGTCTAATCCTGTGGTGTTTGTTGTCCTGTAAAAGCCAGGTTAGCGCTGCTCAGACGGAGGAGAGAGAATTAATTCCTCATCGTCTACAGAGAAGGAGAATCTCTTCAAGAGGCTGAAAAAATTTGCTTCCATTTCCTGGAGGACACGTCTACGTCTGTGGTGGGAGGTGAGGCATCCACTGCTTTATAACAGAAGAATGCAGCGTTTGTCGACATCTCCTTCCATCAAGTATCAGATTGATGCAGGGAAATGGAAAAAATAGTTACAGTATAAACAGATGCTTAGTTCTTCTGGTCTTCACTACCCAGCTGGTCACACACACACACACACACACAGGTGTAGACAAGCCCATCGTGTGTTTATTTTTAACTACACGTTTGAATTTTCACATCAGATCTGGAAATCAATGTAAGGTTTAAAGGTTTAATCATCAGTTTTACTGTACTTCTGTCAACATGACATCATCAGCTCATACTATGTGGACATGTAGACCACTAGAGCCTGAGACAAAACAAGGCTTACAGCCAGATTGACAGTCTCTCTTCACCTAAAGCCAGTGTAGGCATGTTTTTAGGCCTTAAATGAATTATTAGGAATGTCCGTTCAAATTTCCAAAATAGGTGTTTTTTCAATTTTGCATAAAACTAGCAAACATATTATCTCAATTTCACCATAGATTTTCATGTGATTGGTGCAGCGGAAATAGAAGCATTATCTCAATTTCACCATAGATTTTCACATTCAATATGTGATTGGTGCAGCGGAAATAGAAGTGAAACAGAGCGCTCAGAGAGACAGGTGTCGGCTGATGAATACACTGGTTCACAGCTTGATAGAGTACGATGAAGGATTTATGTTACACCTTGTTTCCTCCTCTCTTCCTCAGAGATATATAGAGAGGCCGCACACGAAATATATATATATATATATATATATATATATAATTACATAGGACACATTCTTGTCTCTGGAGAACATCTTGACATCACTGTTTCTTCAAAAAGAAGTGCATGCTGCACTGTAAGAACAGGTCGACCCTAAACCACCAGAGCTTAAACAAAGGATGTGTTTTTAAGATGAGACTATTGACGAGCTGAATTGAACCTTCTCTCAAAAAAGGTAGTGGTATAATTTAACATTTTATATTAATTTAACTTAATTTCCCATGCTGTCGTCCCCCTGCAATAGCTCTGCAAACCACTAGGTGGACCGCACCCTACATTTAAGGAACTGAAAAATAATAAATGAGTAATAAATTAAATAAAAAATAAATGAACTTTAAAAATTAATAAATGAGTAATAAATTAAATAAAAATTAATTAACTTCAAAAAAATCAGAACCAACACTCTGCACCAGGTTTGGATCTAGCTTTTTGTTTGTTTGTTTTCCCAGAATTAAAAACCTTTTTTTCAAGAAATCAATTTCAGTGATATATTTCAGACAAAGACACGGGTTGTGACCACAGTCTTTCCTCTTCTGAATTCCTCTTTTTCCATTTCTAAACAGATGCCTGATGATCTTTGTTCGTCTCATCTGAACCACTGACACGTCTGTGTCTTCTGTCTCCAGGTCGACCTCAGAAGACTGACGTGTGATGACCTCACGCTCCTCTCCTCACCAGAACTCTAATAACTGAGTATGTTGTCACTTTATATCCAGTTTGAGTCAGACCTCAGACACATTTGATCATTTTGCACAGCTGCACAGGTAACAAGTGCATATTAAAACTATGGAACTTTTTAAAGTAATTATATTATAACTATAAATTAATTATACACACACAAACAAGATAATGGAAGTTAACTTCCGTGTTGTGTTGTCAATCAGACCAGAGAAGCACCTTCCTCTGCAAGAAAATCAGTGCAGGCCACTGTAATAGGTTGGAAACTTTACGTGGACCTGATGTAAATAGATTGCAGCCCATCTGCGGGTCTTGACCCATACATTCGAGTAGACGTGAAGGCTGTACAGGGTCAGACTCACCAAGCAGGGAACCAATGAGGATGAAGACCTGGATGGTGGTGGTGAAGTCCCGGTAGGCTTGTTCTGGGATGAGGAGCTGTTCCTCCGGCTCGTTGCTTACTGTAGGCGAGATGCTGCCGCCGCCTCTGCCGCTGCCCCACAGGGTGGTCGGGCTGGATGCGTTCGGAAGATCCAGCCAGAGGTTGGATGCTGATGCTGCCGCAGTAAGATTGGCTGCGCCATCCCCGACAGCCGTGACCAGACTCCCGCCGTCCATGTCTGCTCACCCCGCGGTCCCGACGCTTTTAGTGATGCGAGGAGCAGCCATCACTGGGGAGGCATTTCCAAAGTGCTTTGTTTGGGTGGGGAGATGGGGGAGGACGGAAAAAAGAGGGAGAAGAGGGGGTGATGGTAATGGTGATGATGATGTTTTGACTTAAAAAATACTCTGCACATCCCTGAGTGTGTGCAGAGGAGATGAAAGAGCGACAGAGACCCGGAGACGACGAGTGTTCGAAAACGGACGCTCCATCACTTGGCTCTGCGGCTGATCCGTAGTAGAAATCGGTCACTGGGGGTTCATCAGGTGTGGTGAGGAGGTTGGATGGTTGGACGGAACTCACAAAAATCACACCACGGGGTGGCAGAACGTCCGTTCGATCCCGCGGGTGATGCTAGGAGCGGAGCGGAGAACCTAGAACCATCAGCTCCAGGTGTTCAGAAGAAGAAAGGAGGAGGAGAATGTTGTGTGGCTGCTGCTGCTGCTGCTGCTGCTGCCAATCGCACTGTCAGAGGCTGTCTATTGGTTGGACAGGACACTGGTGTGTGTGTGAGAGAGTGAAGGGAATAGATTAGTAGCAGGAGCCTGGAGAACCCCCTCTTCCTCCTCCTCCTCCTCATGCAGGAGCTCCACTCAGGCTTATGAATGACCAGCAGTACATGAAGAATTTGACACGACCTCCTCCCAGCCAGCAGTTGTGTGTTAGAACTGAATCCGGGCTGGAAGGTCAGACCAAAAAGACACGGGACTGATCACACGATTGCAAAATGTCCAAATTGTTTGTATAGGACCACATGGTAACAAAAAACCAACCCGTTTAATCCTAATCTCAAATTATACTTTAGATTTTGTTGTGGTTTTCACTGTACCACAAACCACATAGATAGAATAATTTGAATAGTCATCTTTATTGATGAATTGGTGAAGTCTTTTGACCAACTTTTAGCTGATGAAATGTCGACCAAATTTAACTTAGATTAGTCAACTAAACGGCCGGTTTTTTAATCTGTTTTTAAAAAAATGAATTCCAACAGAAAAACATGTGTTTAGTGAACATTAGCTTGTTTAAAAAACAAACAACAGTGTGAACGTGAGGTGACAACCTCCGTCACAATAGAGCAGCAGTGTTGTCTAATTTACATTCACAGCCCTGTGTGACATTTCACACTGGTTTGAGGAAAAAGCCAAACAACGTACACACAGCCGACCCGACTGAGATCAGACATGACTGTACTGTATATACCAGGATTATGTTTCATTCCATTAATGCAAACCAAAAAAAAAAACATATGCATTATTGTTGTTTTATTTTTTAGGAGATGAGGCTATTGTTGTTGTTCATACTGTCTTCTTTGCTGTGTTTTTTAAAATATATTTGTTTCTCTCATTTCTGTATCCTCGTACCTTATATCTGCTGTCATGTTCACTCCCCAGTTTGATGCATAATATTAACAGTCATGTTCACTCCCCAGTTTGATGCATTTGTATAAAGACCATGATTATCAGTCTTTAATAATGATAATATTAACAATAATAATAATAATAAAATCTCCAGGAGTTCAGAGGTACTCAGTCTGTGGTGCTTTATCATGCAGATGCAGCACTGCCGTCTGAAACACAAAGAGCACTTCCTGTTCATCTGGTCCTTGAAGAACTGGACTCTCTCTCAGGCCCAGCTGAGCCAAACGGTGGACTGATGGCTCCACACCAAACCAGCAGTACCGACAGTTGCACAGAAGGCAGATGGTCAAACAGGTATGTTAAACAAACACTCCCAAAGTGTGGTCAGCTCATTTTATATGGTGCTGGTCCAATGTAAAAAAATATATTCAAAACAACCTTCCTTTTGTTTAATAAGTTCATCATTCGAGGGTCAAGGGTTTGATTCCGGTGGATTGCCATTGTAATAGTATCGTTAAAAAATTCATTTGAAAAAGCTCTTTTTTTGTTGACTAACTATTACGTTCAGCTTGAATAAAGCTGTATGTTCCAAAGATAGCCACTAGATGGCAACAAAAACACAGCAAAACCCCATATAGTCCCGTATGTTCACACAGCTGAGTTTTAAACAGTTTTGTTTTATATGTATTTGACCCCATAATACAAATACAATATCATTGTCATATAGTAAAATAAAAAATGTCCTCTGAATACAGATGTGACAAACTAACATTCACCTTTGGTGTTACTGTTTTAAATGTTAGACACATTGTTTCAATTTTTTTTTAAATTGAAGTATTTTAATGGAGCTTCTTGAATGTGAAACAATGTCGACATTTTATTGATCATTAACAACAGAAAATGCATTACATTCAATCCTGAAGCAGGTTTAAAATTCTACCCATACAATTTGTAGAAAGAGAAAACCTCCAGTAGGTGTCACCAGAGGTCGTTTTCAGTGGAAGTACTGTAAACACAAATGGCGTTATTGGTCAGATTAATTAAGACTGTTGAGGAGTAACATGTTTGTTTAGCTACTGTTTCATGTCAAAACGACTACAGTAAAGATGAACTATTAACAAGAAGAGAAGCCCAGGTCCCACTAAGATTAAATCCCTCTGCATGTGACGAGAAGGTACACGTACCATAGTTTGTGAACCAAGAATGATGATTTCAAAGGCAAATACAAATATTTCAAAGCCATTCTTTCAACTGTAACTGTTTTATTGTGAACTTTTTGTAAACAGCCACCTTGAGGTGTACCTTATTTTATTTTTTACTTGGACCATGCTTCATTTTACAATTACATGTTGGGGCACTCCTACAAATTAGTTTTTAGATTTTTAAATTGAATTGAATTATTATTTAAAATTATTTATTTTATAAAAATAATAAATACATAATAAAAATAATAAAAATATCAGCCAATAAATAGCCGCATATAAACTATATAGAGTAAATGATTTTATCTTTAGTTTACAGCTTTTATTTTGAAATCGCCTCGCGGTCGATGGTGGGCGGGTATGACGGGGCCGTGTTGACTCCGCCTGTTGTTTATGGCCCCGCCTCCTTATGGCGCTCTAGCATGGAGACCGCACGATAGCGCCGCAGCTGGGAGCGGCAGAGCCGAGAGTGTCGTTTCTTCTCTGTGTACCTCACATAAAGAGAAGAAAGACTGACGAGACGACCAATCAGGGACCGAAGCAGAACAACAGAAACCGACGGGAACCGAAGGAAGAACGGACACGTTACATTCTGCCGTGTCACCTCGTTTTATTCTCCGTTCCGGGTGTGTCGGTGCCCTTTTAAACAACCTTTAATGCCTCGAATGTGAGAGAGAACGAGAAAGAGAGAGCTAGGCTGCTTTACGTTGGTGAGTGTTTTGGTTGTTTTTTTTTCTCTCGAGCCTAACGCTCACTCACACACACACTGAGGCCACAGTGTTGTCTCCTCTTCCTTTTTTTCTGTCTGTTTTTGTCTTATTACATAATAATAAACCAGATACGAAGCTACCGCTAATTGCTAACTAACAAAGAAGAAGAACAATGACTTGTCAGTGTTCCTGTTCGTCAACAAACTAACCAAGTGTGTTAGTAAAAGCTAAACCGAGACCATCTGTTAACAAGAGGAAAAACGTTAGTTATTATTACTATTTATTTCTGGCAGCTGTTGTAGTTATTACCTAAAATTAAGTTTTCATCTGAAGGAATATTCCAACGGTGACAAAATAGAATACAGAAGGAAAAACCATAAATAACCTCCGGCTCATTAGTAGAAGCCACTAAATACGGCTCTGTCCCCTGTGACATTATAGTCAAGTGAGCAATAAACGTGGAAAAGAGGTCAAAGCTAGTGTTTATTCATGATACAGTAATTGTACAGAATGGTAATTTTAACGTCATATTAATATCATAACATTACGGTGACTGTATGTGCAGCTATGTGACGGTGGTCACTTGTTTTTGTCTGGTGTGTGTGTGTGTGTATTGGCAGCCCACTCCACTCTTTGTTTAAATAGCTCAGCCTGTACACTTGCACGTGTGGAAGAGTGTGACACTGCTTCTATGAGTACAGCTGACCGTGGCTGGTTTTAGTACAGTTGCACTGTAGCTGGATGTTATTTTAATAACACTCTGTGTGTTACAGTGTATTTTTCTTTCCTGTAACACCAGAGCAGGGTGTTATACACAGTACATGGACTCTACAGCTAAGGGTTTTTGTTTTTAGTTTTAGGGGTAAAAAAAATAATCAGGAACGTTCTTGAATAAAGTAACGAATGAAAAAGTAATTAAGATTATAAGAAAAAGAAACAAAAACTAGATATACAGAGCAATAATTGTAATGTAGCTGGATGTTATTTTAATAACACTTTTTTCCTGTGACACCAGAGCAGGGCGTTATATATAGGTATAAGACAGAAACCTGTTGGAGGAGGTAACAACAAAGTACTCATTTGCATTAATATAGCACTATTCTAAAACTTTAACCTTTAAAGCTTAAGTTCTTTAAAGAACTGGTTTTGTCCTCACAGATGAACACAGTTCAAGAATTTGAGCTACTAGCTAATTTTTGTAAAAGCATTGTAGCAAAAAATAAAAAAACTTGAAATCTTTCATCAGAAATGTTTTATTAACCATCTTTTACAACTTCATATTGTTACGTTGAGCCGATTTTATGATACAGCCATAAACTCTAAACCAATTTATAACCAAGTAATCAACATGTTATTGCAGCTCTGTTGCTCTGCCTCCATTACTTAACACAGAGAAGGATTGAGTGTTTAGTTGGAAAACTGATCAAACAAGACGCTGTTTGCACTTAGTCACTGCTTCCCCTTGTCACTAGGAAAAAATTAACCAGTGTTGAAGCTGACCTACCTGCTTCTAACATTTCCTGGTATTGTGATATGGTCACACCTGCCACTAATTATCTATCACATGCTTTTCAACTCTTTTGACTCGGACTAACTTGCTCTGTTCCTTCAGTCTTTGGTTGTTGGTATTTTTTCACAGTTGTTGTTTTAACGTCATAGTTTTATGATTCTGTTTTCTGTTTGACAACCTCGCAGTGAGTAAACATCTTGTGAGGGGAGATAAGAGTGCCCACTCTCTAACTTTCACAAGTTTCCTGAGTGTCAACACGGTGCTCTGGTGGTTTATCGTACTTTTGTTGCACCCGTGCCTGTGTTCTTTCCTCCATTATATCATATGGTAGTGCAGAAGGATGCTCAGGCCCTGCAGGGCTTGACTCTCCAAAATACTTAACAACAAAGGGTCTTTTCTGTGCTGCCCTGCGCAGCCCCATCCCTGGGCTCCCTCCACAGGCCCAGATGGGCTCTACCAGGAGGAGCAGCACTGGGGCCTATCGGATGGAAATCTCTCGTCTTTTTCTTTGACACACTGAGTGCTCTCTGTTCCCAGACAGATGCCTGTACTGCTGCTGCTCTCCTTGGCTGCCTTTGCGTTCCAGGAGCCCAAGGCAGCTGACGAAGTGCAGCCACAGCCTGTTGGCTAGCTGCTTGTCTTACTGCTGTCTGAAGTAGATGCATGTTTTTTCCCCCCTCACCTCTAGGTCTGACAGACAAACCATATTCCATACGTTTTGGCAACTACGCCACTCTTTTCTAAAAGAAAAAATCCCCTCTAGGTCTAATAGTTCTGTGAAAGATAACATAAATGTCCTGTAGCCAGTTGAGTCCACAGTTGGTTTTTGGAGACCGATGGACGTTGGTTTGATATTGTGTAAATAGCAGATGGAGGACCTGACTTGAAATGGAAGGATTGGGGGTTCAAATCTTAGGCCTAACAAATAGGCTAAACTGGCTAACAAGCTTTTGTCTTTTGGCGTTTTGCAGTCGTCACTCTAATTAGTTCCTTAAACACATTTTTAGTCCATAGGAACATAACTTCACAGGTTTCACAATAGACTGTACTGTTCCATATACCATAACACCCACTGTGTTCTTCTCTTTTTTATTGGTGTCGTCCAGAAGGCTGCTTCCTCATATAGGAAAACAAAACCTTCCCATAATTTTTAAAACCTACTACGTCCTCAGTACTTACCAAATATATGTGCAACTTGTAAAAGTTTAAAGTAGGATGCAATTTCTTTTTGGAATTGTGAAATGTTGGGAGTTTCATAGTGAATCATTTATGTAATTTTGGAATAAAAGAACCTTTAATCACCAGCCTGTAATTTAGGCTGGTGATTAAATGACTATTAATTGACTAGCAAATGATCAAATGATGATCGCTTGACTAAAATGAGAGATTACTTCCTCTTTTTGGTCAAAGGTTTTGTTCATATGTCAACTTTGATGAGTTTCATTTCCACACAACACTGTCTGTGCTGCTATAAATGAAACTTGGTTAAGACCTGGTTTTTTGCAGCTGTGCACAGAAAGTGTTTATGTGGTTGTGATGCAAAAGAATGTGTTCCAGGAAACAGTAACCAGATTCACTCAAGTCTAAAATAGCAGCTTTAATTCTTTAATGTGATATTTCTAATCTAACTCGTTTTTTTTTTTTAACATTGCACGTGACAGCAAAGTCTCAACGTTCACGTTCAAACTTGGATCGTTTTTATGCTCCTTCTATCACACTGTCACCGGCTTTGTTTGTGATCAATAAACTCAGCAGCATAAAATCATTGCATCATAAAACCTACAAAAAAATGCCTTTGAGGCTGCAGCCGTCTCATTGGCTCTAATTAAAATGCTCTGGGTTCTTTTCCGTGGGATACCTGAGCGCAGCGCTAATGACTTTTCTCCTTTGCTCAGACGTTCTTGTGTGAAAGCTATTAAGCTAATTCTGCTTCACTTTTCACTTTGCAAACAAACTGGCCATTCAATAACCTGCCCTGGGCTCTCTGAGGAGGTCAGTGCTGCATTATAAATGCCCCGGTAAGTGGGTATTTACATCCACAACCAGAGCCTCTGGTGGAAACACGTGTTCTTTATTGTCCCGCCTTTGCCTTTTCTTTTGTCCTTGACTTTTTTTTCCCCTCCTCACTGACACCAGTCACTGCAAAAGCTGTCTGTAACCGAGCGCTCTGATCCACAACAGGGATAAATAAGAAAGCATCAATGGATGCTAATGCTGAGCACGGCTCCCCTGCATGTGTTTTTGACTGGCTGCCCTTTGGCTCAATACCGTATTCAATCTCGGCGGCCAAGACTGACTTGCGTCACTCACTCCCACCGGTCTGCACCACATGCAGGTATGGTTCTGCATCCAATCTCCTCTTCAGGTGGTAGGGTGCCCTGTTGGTTGGGCATGTATGCGTTTCTCTGTCAATGTCAAACCATGACTAAAACCTCAACCATATAAAGACAGAAATGAGCCTAAATTTAGTAGAAACTGACAGACGTTAGCCAAAAATGTCACAATAAGAAATCACACCCAAAAAAAAAACAACAAAAACTTTTTTACTGGATTGGACAATTAACAAAGCCTGTTAATTGCTTTAAATCTCAACAGTACAAAGTGTACTGGTCTTTAATTGAAGAAATCCAAGCCCATTGGTTTTGACATACACACACATTTGACTGTGATATGATATGAGTTCCCAACTAGTGTGTTCTGGAGTCAGTTGTGGACGCAGGCCGCCGCGGTGCTGCTCTCTGCCAGGGTTGACTGTTTGTTTACTGTGGCAGTGCCCGTGGCCACGCGACACATCAAATTTGTGGCGGTCTGAAGTGCAGCCATGCCATTACTGTAGCCATTAGCTTCACAGCACTGCCTTCTGCTTGTTTTCACTCAGGATCCAGTCACTGCTGCTTCATCCTGACGTCCCTCACAACACCATAACCAGTGTACCGTAACGTGCACCTGCATCTCAGTTATGTGATGACACTGTGCATCTGCCTGTATAAGCCAATCAATGTACAATAGCCATTTGGAAGTGGGTTAGGTTCTTAAAGGGAGAGATTTATGGCCGTTCTCATACGGCTGCATTCCTTTACTCCCTCTGTTGCCGTGTAAAGGTGCTGCACCGTAAGTTTTTATCACCTCCTCCCCGCGTTTGTCTGCTGTCACGCCAACATTCTGTGATCGTAGTGGTTGATTTAACGTCAACCTACTGTATGTATAACATTTACAGTAGCCACGGACGGTGTTTCACTCAGGCTACACAGATGAAGAATACTCGGGGATTATTGGAGATTATTGATAAAAAAAAAACCTTGGATCCATCAGCAGATCCGATGATGTTTACTGTATGAAAATGATTGCGTACACAGGAAGTAGTTCAGAAAGAAATGTCTAACCTGGTTATCTACTCATAATGCTTCCATCACTCTCTGTTACAGATCAGCAACATATGGTGGAGCAGCATCACAGCTGAGGCCTCTGTAGACAAGCATCTGTTTATCAGTCAGCCGTGACCCCTTTATCTTCTCTTCCCAAATATCTGTCACTTTTTTTTCCCCAAAAAATATCGATCCTGTTAAGATGTGGAGTTGGGTTGCATCGTTATAAATATAAATGTGCTGCTATAGAACTCCCTAACCTGACATATGGTAGTGGAGTTAGATCTGGAGGAGACGATGATGGATGATTTGATTGACCAGTAACCAACGTCTTTTTTGTTGTTAGTATCTAGAAGAAAATGATAAATGTATTTCAGACAGAGAATGGCAAAAATGAACTGTGAAAAATACCAACTGTGACTCTTAAGTGTGTTAAAAAAAATTCAATATACTCAGAAATATTGCAATATTCTACAGCACTATATATAGATTTGTTGAACAGTTAACATGCAAATATTCATGGCGTTGGTTCGTTCTTGTGTTGCATTGAAACCTTCTCACCCAAAGGGGAATTTTGTTAACGTCACAGTTGTAGTCGGTCTTTTTTGCACTGACTCCTGCTCACATGCTTCTATCCTCTGTCCTCCCTAATGCTGCGGAGATCCTGTTACATCATCTACAGCAGTGTCTAACGGCAGTTTTATTAAGTTAGATTCTGTGGCAGAGACACTGAATTCAGGAGGCGATCAGAGCAGCTCTGTCTCACACTGCTGCAGCTGCAACTGAGGGTGTCGTACGGTAAACGGGGAAATTAGCTTCCTGTCTCTTTGACGAGTGTTCTGAAGAAGTAACACAGGGGAACAGGAAGTATACGTAGTCATCCAGCCGCTGTTTTCGTCATCAGTCAAAGCAACAGTTGATGATGGGGGGGGTTCTCTTCCTACGTTTCCTGTGTAACTCCTTATCCTGGCTGGTTTCTCTGTTCAGTTTGATTACGTAATTCCAGCAAAGTATTGACAGAGGAGGCGATCCCTCTCCCGGCACTCCACTCCTCCCTCCCTTCCTCCCTCCCTCCCTTCCCATTCCTTGTGCTCACTGTGCCCCTGACAGGTTAAGCCGTAGAGGACTCGCTGGCCGCCAGAGGAAAAGATGTGCGATGGAATGGTAGCGTTTCAGACGAGAGCTCTGTCCACGTCCACCTCCTCCTCCTCATCTCCAGCCCACAGACTGGCTGCCTCCGCGCTTCTCCTCCTCTTCACCCTGCTTCCTCATGGTCACGCATCAGGTAGAACGCAGACGCTCTCCCTCCCTCTCTCTGTCTTTTCTTCTGCCTGTGCTCCCGCACGTCGACTCCAACGGTATCTCCTCTGTCCCTTTGAAATTGATTGAGGTCATTTTCTTGTCACTCTCCCTGCAGGTCAGTTAGATTAAATTGGTTTCCTCCACCCTCGGGTCACTTATGCTGCTCCCTTTTTATCCAGCAGTTGAGTGCTGGTTTCCACCCACTCTGGATATTCATTCACAGAGAGACAGAGTGACAGAGACGTAATGTTGTCTGTGGTCACGTTGCCGTCATGAGGTTTTAATCAGCCGTTCCTCTGAGAGCCATTAGCCAGGCTAGCCAGCTTTGGCTACGGCTTCAAAACAACGCGCTGATGAGATTTCAAGTTAGTCTGGAAACTGGTGTTGACTGGGAATCTGACAGTGAGTTGAACTAGGAGAGTGAGTGTAAACCCAGCTAAAAATGTTTGAACCTGTTCAATAATCACTGCGGCTCTTTCTTCAGCCTCCTCTGAAGGAAAACAGTGCCGACACTTTGCACTCACTGAACTCCTTCAACACTGCCAGGGTTCCTTTCATTTTAGCAGTCCAATATTCCACTTCCTAAGCCCCTGCAGAAACACACACACACACACACAAACTACCTCCACATTTACACCACACAGATACGCTGTGACACGCATACACACACACACAAACACACACTCCCCTCACACAGCCAGCTCGTGAAATGTGCCAGATGTCCTTGCCACACAGAGCTGGCAGATTGTGTATATAGGAATGAGTTAGTGTTGTGCACTGGGATTTAGGGCTTTCGTATTCAACAGTAGAGTTCACTGCCCTTTATCATGAAGTATTGTTTAAAAAAAAAAAAAAGGTGTGTTTGATATTGAGCATCTCCACCTGCAGCCTGAGGAACAGCAGACATTTTGCTCTGGATACGATAGCAGGGAAGAAGTCTTTTGATCAATATGTTTATGAGCGTCGTAGAGTGTGGGAAACAATAGGGTTAGAGATGGAGAGAGGAACGGGTGGATGGACACTGAAGAGCCACAGTCTGTCTCCTCTGTGTCTTATATAACAGACATGAGCATCACGTTGTACATCCACCAAACACGTGTGCCCATGAGCACACACACATGTTCTGCCCACTGATGCCACAGGAGTGTGACCCTGAGTGTGTGTGTTTTTTTTATATGTCGTATATGTTTTGGTGTTTTGTTTTTTTTTTATTTTTGGCTGATCCATTCTTTTAAAAACATATCCCATATCTAAGGTTTGTCAGTATGGATTATGCGACTAATCCGTTAAGACTTTTTTAAAGAACCCAAAATAAAGCATTTGAACTGTAGATTTTAAAGTATGCAGCCATAGAGAGGGAGACTAGTGGACTAATGGGAACTGATACTGACGGTGGGTCTGGTGACAGTCTAACAGAAGAGGAGGCGGAGCTTGAAGTGTAGAAGCGATGCAAATGATGACTGGATTAAGTGATGAGGAATACGACTGGGAACTTGTTGAACTCGTTAGCCTGCTCCTCTGATATATTTAGCCTGTGTTTTGAATGACTTTGTTTAGCCATTCCAGTAAATATCCAATAAAACCTGCTTGTGAAGAGTCATTGAACATGAGAGCCATGTAAACCTGCTTCAAACAGCGGTTGAGCCTTTGTCAGTAAGGTCAGATTAGTTTCTGATGAATGAATGGAATTTCCAACATTTCCTCTTTCTGTTTTACAGAGCAGTGACGTTCCCTAACCACATGACTAAGCACATGCGCACATAACTAAAACAATTAAACCAAATCTTGTATTAACACCATGAGACGATTTGTGGAGCAGCGTCCCTTCAAAAATCTGTGACATAATTTTTTTATCCAAGCTTGTAGCTCCAAATTTATACTCATAAATCACATGTAGCACACGTTTGAAGATTTATTTTTATAAATGCCTCTGTGAAAGACAGAAACCAGAGAAGCTGACCTGTTTGAAACAGATTTTCCCTGGAGTCCTGATCATGCAAGAAAAGACACGGAACCTGTATTGATTTTTTCCGGTAGAACAGCACAAAGGATATAGAACAATGCTAACAGGGTGTATGTGCGCTCACAGAGACGACACGAAGCCACCAACAAAACCACATTCACGCGTTATAATTGTAAAGTTTTTATATAAAAAAAAAAAAAATCCATAATGTTATTGGTTTGACTTCCATGCTCCTGCCTCACTGTGTCTCCTTCTCTCCATACATAATTCACATAGGTAATCCCATGGCGTGTTTCAGGGATGGAGATTGCACGAGAAATTTTCATGAATATGAAATATCATCGCGCCCGACAGCCTTATTCCAGACTCGTAGCAATAGCAGTGAGTGGCATGAATAGAAATAGGTTCTTAAAAAAAAAAAGAAAAAGTATACTGTATTACATTTGCATACACGTGTGGTGGCTTCATACACCAGAGACCAGAACACAGCAGAACGATGCATCAAAGCTTTTAGTTCATTTGTCAGATTTGGTTGTTTTTCTGCCTCTCGTGGTCTTTGAGACCATTTGGCATTTTACTGATAGAAAATTAAATTTAATGACCAGATAATGGTGGTTGAAGTCATTTTTCAGGGCAGGAGGAGATTTGAACTTTTTTATTGGCAATTTTACGCTCCTCCTAGAAAGGTCAGAACATCAATTTCAGGCACCTGTAAATACTCCTTAATAGGGTGTAGTTACCAAGGCTTCTTACGCCAAAGTATATATAAAACCAATTATGTCATTATCTGTTGCTGCTAATTGTAAACAAGACCAGCAGGGTGTCAGCTGAGTTGGAGTACGTGGTTTTCTCAAGTTTGTTTGTGATTACTGCTGGAGATTACCTTTCAGCCAATGGCTCAGGACATTTTTCCCCAAAATGAGGCAGTGTACTAAACAAAAACATCCTCCACAGCCGTGCTGAGAACCGATAAACAAACACAACTACAAAGCTGCACTGTGGCTTTTGTGTGTGCAAACAATAAATGCACTCTATTTGAAGAGGGGGGAGGGGGGGGGGGGTTCCGGACACTAGTATAAATCTGGCATCCCAGTTGCATTTCCTCTGTTTTGCACAGCTCTTCATGCCATGTGAGCTCTTAACAGTCAGGTTTTTGTGGTTCATTCTTGGAGAAGTCAGTCCAGACAGTGAGTCGAAAGTGAATTAACTTGGTTCTCTAGAAATCGAGTCATCATCGTCGCTGTCAGTCCATTTAAATAGACATACGGTGCCTTCCAGAACCTTTTGTCCTCTGACACCGAGCTGTACCCAGACATGAAAGTACCAGCCCGGCACCACAACGGGTCTCGCAAGGCCTGCTGAGTCCTGCTGCAAGGCTGTGACGGTTATGTGTGTGAATGTGTGGGAAAAGGAAATGGCTTTCCCCGAATGTGGAAGAAAAGTGGAGTCATAGGGCAACAAAAAGAGCAGAGGAAAGGGGGAGGAGAGCCAAAAAAGGGAGCAGAGAGAACTGCCTTTCTAATATCCCCCGAGATTTGTGTTTGCGTTCCACAATCGATTGTCTGCTCTTGGCCAGGCTTGAATACACTCTGCAGCCTGACAAATGCCTACTGCAGACAGATGCCATTGTTTTTGGCAGTTCTTGAACTGGATGAGTTCTCTGAACATTTTGTCGCTTGAGGAAAAAAAGGCTTCAGCTCAAGAGCTTTTTCTCTTTAATAACAGAGGAGACTTCAGTGTAAGGCATCGCGTCACTGCTCTGACCACAGAGGAAAATATCTGAATGAGCCTTGCCCTACTCCTGGGATCGTCAAACGGCCGTAGTCTTTGGGACTTGTTGCTTCACTTTTATCCGTGGGTGTTTCGAAGTCTGTGGGTCTTTTGTTAAGTTCTGTTGGCACAGAGAACATTTCTGATGGCTAGTTAAACTCTGGAAGTCTGTACCACATGGAACACCTTTGAAGATGATTATAGATCAAACCTGGGTCATGAGTCCCCAGGAGTCACTGAGCAGATTTTTTAAAGATTGTTTTAGTAATTATTCAGCTTATTTAAACCACCAGATTCACTCTTTCTTATCAACTAGGACTAAAACCTAGGACTGTGTGGTACTTCATTGAAAAAAGCCAAAAGTGCTCCTTAATTAGGGCATATATGGCCTGATTCATATTGCCTGCTCTATACAAACACCTGGTCTTTGAGATGGTAAGGAAGTACAAGTCACCTTATGATGTTTCCACACTCGAGGTCTTTAAAATTGGAATATTAGCTGCAGCTTGATGTCCGTTAAATACGATACGTGCTTCTGATAATTGTCACAGTCTTACATAAAACACATGACTGATCCACTTAAGCCCAGTGTTTTTGTGAGTTGATTTACTGACTCTAGAATGAACGCCGTCTGTGTGCACTCTGGAGTCAAATAAATCTGTGTCGGCTCTGCTACCAATCAGAAGCAATGTAAATAAGACACTTGGTAACTTCTCTGTTATGGCTTTGTTGCAGATGATACACATTTTCCGGCAGAGCTCACGTGGCAGTATCTGAAGTATTTCAGTTATTTACTGAGTTCTGAAGAAGGCCTGGTCTCTGACGTGCTGTTTTTAAATGTTGTGCAGTGCTTTCTGCCACTCCTAGAACATCGGTTATGGTGCATTTGTGACACTGAACATCACACTCCAGGGATAAAGTAAACAGAGAGGCAGACTCCTTCACTGGCAACATAAAAGGAATCCATTTGCTCCTTTTTAGCAAGGTTTCCATAAAGATAACAGGAACACAACGTCACAGACCTCCTACAACTTCATGTCTTTTTCCACCTCTTTGCCCCCCCCCCGCCCCCTCCCTTCCCTGAAATACATGACCATTCGGGAGGAGGACTTGCCAAAAAGCAACAGGGAACACAACTCATGCCATGGTTTTCCTGATACTTGTAGAACAGTTTGCTGTGTTTGCAAACATGGAACTGTGAAATTAACTGCTTGGGAATCTTCCCCCAAAGGCCTGTTAGCGCGGTGTTC